TTTGCATTTAGCTAGATTCATATGCTGGCCAGAAGCAGAAGCATACTCCTGAATTAATCCCTTTAAGGCTAACAAATTAGACTTTAGCCCTTTACAAAAGATCAGGATATCATCAGCATACAAGACGTGAGATGGGGTTTGTAAACCATTTGGACCGGAAATAGTATTTAATTTACCTTCAGCAACAAGCTTCGAAATTCCCCTGCTAAGAACATCCTCAGCCAGGCAGAAAAGAAGAGGAGAAAGAGGATCCCCTTGCCTAACTCCCCTTAAGCAATGAAAGAAGCCCACTGATTCCCCATTCACATTAATTGAAAGCTTGGCAGAGTGAAGAATAACCTTAATCCAATGGACAAACTTTGTATTAAACCCAAAACAGATCAAAGTATCTTGCAGGAAAATCCAGTCAATAGTATCAAAAGCTTTCCTAATATCCAGCTTGATGGCCAAATTTCCACCAAAGGTTTTGTGGTCAAGCAAATTCACAGCCTCAGAAGCCAGGCATATGCAGTCCTGAATATGCCTGTCCTTAAGGAAGCCTCTCTGCTGCTGGGAAATAATTTTTGCAGCAACAACTGCCAGCCTAGAAGCCAAGATTTTGGTAATAATTTTGAACTGAAAATTTGCTAAGGCAATTGGCCTAAACTCTTCAATTTTGTCAGCTCCTGGTTGCTTAGGAATTAGGACAACATTATTGGAGTTGAGGTTAGGCAACAGCCAACTGTCTCTAAAGAATTGGGACACAGAATTACACACCTCATCCCCAACCACCTCCCAACAGCTTTGGTAAAAACATCCCCCAAAACCATCTGGACCAGGAGCACCATCACCCTTCATATTGAACACTGCACGCCTTATCTCCTCCCTGGATGGCAGATCTATCATCATCATATTATCCTCTTCTGAGACCAGAGCAGGAATAACTGACTGAATAAGATGGTTTGGCCTAGCATCATTGGGAGAGGCATATAAATCAGTGAAGTATGCTAGAGTGTGTTGGGCAATCTGCTCTTGATTCACCAAGATAGTGTCTCCATCTCTAAGAGAAGATAAGGCTTTGGAAGCTTGTCTAATCTTAGTGATTTTGTGAAAAAAACTGGTGTTCCTATCACCATCCATCTGCCAATTAATTCGAGCTTTCCCTCTCCAGAATTCCTCTTCCACCACCAAAGCTTGAAGAAGCTCTCCCTGAGCCAAGTGCTCCTGATTAAGCAAATCATCATCAGAACCACTAGAGCTGATAGCATCCTGAATTGCAGCCACATTTGACATAGCCTGCTTAACCCTTACCTGAATGTTCCCAAAGACCTGAACATTCCACGTTTTAAACTCCTTTTTTAAATTCCTTAACTTCTGAGATAACACAAACATAGGACAACCCACCAGCTCCTCTTTCCAAACCTCAGAGACCAATCTTTGACAGTCTGGATGACTTAACCACATTTTTTGAAACTTGAAGCTTGATCTAGGGATACCACCCAAATCAAAACAAAGAAGCAGGGGATGGTGATCAGAAGCAATTCTTGGGAGAGTAGAACAGGACAACTGATTCCAAGAATTCATCCAAACTTCATTAGCAATGCATCTATCTAGCCTTTTTTCAATTGCAGCAACACCAACATGACTCAGTTTAGTTTGACTTTTAAGAATTAAATCTAATTGAGTTTTGAGCTAAGTTCAATATCGAACTATTTGTTCAGCTCTAGTTCGACTCGATTAAAGTTTACGAACTTTCGAACAACTTAACGTGCTCAAATAAATGTTGCTCGTCAGCACAAATTTAAAGGGCTACCAGATGATGGTTGATTATAGATATATATGTGAAGAACGTTTGTGAATATTAATAATAAATGTAGTAGTTATCAATTAAAGTTCGTGTATTAAAAATTGTCAACATTTATATGTTTTTGCAGATAGTGCCTCAAGTGAGAACAATTTTTAATATGAGAAATGAGAAGAATCCATTTACTATTTAACAAAAAAAACTCTTGCTACATAAGTTAGAGACACATGTCATCACTTCCTACAAAATTTTCCCTCTAAAAATTCCATAGCTCTTATTGTCCAACCTCACATAAAAGATCAAAACCTTGCTTTACCATTTGATTCAATTTGAACATAATAACCTATTAATTTTGCAACTTCCCACGTTTATGTTTTGGATTATTAAATTAAACTTGGGACAAAAATGAAATGTTTTCAGTAAGTTGGAAATGGCAGCAGAAACATATTTTTAAATAATAAAAGTTTTGTTTACAATAAGCAAAATCATGGATGACAATAGTGGTTAATGTGGAACATTCATTTTCTTCATGTTTTTTAGAGGGGAGAGTGCATTCATGGGATTTAGCTCAAACATTCATATGTCTTGTTTTACAACTATTTAATTGAGCTAACTTTTAATTGTTTGAATGGTAGATATTAGAAATTTAAAATAACTATTTCTTCATTCATCACTCCAACTAATTTATTATATAAACAAAATTAAAAATAATAAGATAATAACAACTCAAATAACAATTAACAAGATAAACATTAATTATAGCAAACTCAAATAAAATGTAATTAATTAAATCATAAATAAGATAATAATTTATTAATTCAAATATCATCTAACGCACCTTTTAAGTTTGCTACAAATGACTCATTTAAAAATGATAATAACCAATAACATTACAATGCATGTTAAGCAACTTTAATAGTCGAAACAAACTGTCATCAAAAAACCAATTTATGTCAATGTTTATTATATAGTAATATATATATATATATATATATATATATATAATAAAATAATAATGATGTGACAATCAAGATTAATATAAAATATATGAATTAGAAATTGAATTTTTATTAATTTAATATTATCTTTAAGCATATACCATTTTCACAAACGATTAACTTTTTAGGAATAATTAGGAAAAAATAATTCAATGACAACTTGCAAAATGTGTTTTATCAATTGTATTAAAATTTTGTATTTTCAACTTAATTGTATTATGTTTCAATAAAATCTTAGTTGTTTAATTAAATTTTAACTTTATTTGTTCGATTGTTATGATTAAAGAATAAAACTTTTGTTGTTTGAGAATGTTTTAACTTATTTGTAACATTTTATTGTAGTAATTCTTTTCATGTTGGTTGTTTAATTAAGTAGTTATGTTGGTAATATTTTTAAATTTGAATTTTAAATTTATTAAATAATTTAAGCTACTATTACATATTTTTCAAAAATAAATAATAATATAAAACTAGTCAACCAGTTTAATCCGTGAATCACTAATCCAACACTGAATATTGTAACCAAATAGATTCATTGTATCAAATATATTATTGCTACAAAGACTACATTACTTATTTGTTAGAGTAATTTTTTGGGGGAAATGATTATTAATTTTTACTACTTATTACTATTAATAGGGTATTATTCGGGGCGCAACAAATTAAAACAAGTTGAGGAATAAAAAATATAGTTTTGAATAGGTACAAGTGATGTGTTATTGTGCTCAATACATACATGAATAATTAATTTAATTTTTAATACAAATTATTTGTAATCCATAATCAGCTTTCTCAAGGTATTAGTTAAAAAAGGCTTTCTTATTATTCTTCTAATGGATCACCATCCAGCTTTGAAAATAACAACTGTTGGATAGTACTACTTTTATTAATTTTTATTTATGTCTATTTCAAAAGAATATATACAATTGTTATTTGTTTAAGATATATATTAATTATTCATATTTAAACACGTTAGGTTTAAATATACTAGTACAGTTGATCCTTGAAAATGGGCTGCATAATAAACTCCAACCGTTGGGTTGACCCAATTTAATTATGAGTTTAAGTGACAACATATTACACTATTAATTAATAACACGTTACTACTTGGTTGACATTTAATGTATTCATTACAAAATACAAATACTTTTAATGGACCTATAGGTGAAAAATGTTTACACTCACCATCAGATAGACAGTTACCATAAAAATGAGCCGAGTCCAAATTAAAAATTATTCTAAGTAATCATCTGATCATTAACTAACTATTAATTTTAATCATGTATATTTAATTTGTAAGATACTAATTTACTATTCTCATAATTTTTGTATGATAATTATTCTCATTTAAGTCACACTTATTTATATATATATATATATATATATATAATTGAGTTAAATTATGAACCTAATTAATCAAAATGTATTTGAATGAATGTCGAGGTGGTTTAGTTTATTGTAACTCTTCTTAGAATCCAAATAAACATTAAAATCAATTAAATGTATAAACATCACCATATATTATTTTTCTTCTTAGCAATTCCTCTATCATGTATATCTCATTGTGTATAAATTTTTTCAAGTGAAGGCTTCCTTCTGTCCCATTTTCTTGATTCAAAGGATTTTCACTATTATATTTGTGTTTCTAATATAAGTCTCACTCTAAAATTCCCTTTTCGAACACTCAAATTCCCTTAAAAAATATATCACTTTCTTGTTACATAAACACTCACTTAAACACTTACTTAACCCTTATGATGATAATTGATAGTATGAAGTATAAGGAGACTTTTTTTAAAGGCTTAAGATCACTACATCCAATCTATTTGATATATGAATCATTTTCAAGAATAATTTAACTCAATATCACACTTAGCTCTTTTTTCATAAACTTTGAAAGTGTAGAAGATTCTAAAGATTTTTTTTTTGAAATATTTGTCTCCAAAAGTGCCTCCTCAAAGTATTATATAAAAGTGTGATTCATTTTTAGATGTTTAGGATGATATTTATATAATTTAGAGCACACATTAATTAGTTAGTATCATGTGGTAATTGGTTTAATATAGTTTTGGATAGGTAATGATGTGTTATTGTGCTCAATACATACAGTAGTAATGAGTTTAATTTTAAGTAAATTAAACTCAATCTTTTTTTTAGTTTTAGTAAAATTATACAAACAATCATTCCAATTTTTATACTTATAAAAACCTCCTTTTTTGGGTCTATCAGACAACTGTGTGACCATCCCAACCACATAGGTGGCCGAGAACGATCCTCCATTGCGCAAGATGAAACTCCCCACTGAGAGTTCATCGAGCTATTAATCACGCTCTGATCACACGGTCATGGCTCATCAACCAGACTTAGGTTCTTAGGTTCTTGTCTCCTTAGAACTCAAGGACACAATGGTACGTGTGTATATATATATATATATATATATATATATATATATATATATATATATATATATATATATATATATATATGACCTTACTTACAAAAACCTCCTAATTTATATATATATATATATTGCACTAATCTTCCTTACATGAAAAATAAATGTAATTTTTAAAATATGAATGATGATAAATGTAATTAAGTTAGACAAAATGCATCAATAATTCTTATGAGATATTATTTAAATCATTTTTATACTATATTATAAAAAACAAAAAATAATGAAAATGTATTGAATCATAAACTATTGTGTTGACAATATACCATATTTTGTTTACCTTAATTACATTTATCACTGTTTTTTGTTTAAAAAATCACACTTATTTCTCATGCAGGATGATTAATGTAATATATGTTTATAAATTATGGGGTTTTTGTATGTGTAAAAATGGAGAAATAATTTGTGTAATTTTATTAAAACTCATGTATCAATTAAATTACTCTTTATTTTTTAATACAAAATTATTTGTAATCCATAATCAGCTTTCTCAAGGCATTAGTTAAAAAAGTATTTCTTATTATTCTACACTTGTCAGATCTCATGTTTCCAAATGGATCATCATCCAGCACATGTTGCTCGTTAACATAAGTTTAAAGGATTTATAAGGTGTCGGTGAATTATAGATATACATGTGAAAAAGTTTGTGAATATTAATAATAAATGTAGGTATCAATTTAAGTCAGTGTATTAAAGATTGTCAACATGTATATATATGATACTAAGTAATCATGTAGTCATTAATTAAATTTTAATCAGCTATGTATATTTGTATGATACTAATTTTGTATCCTCATAATTTTTATATGAAAATTGTTCTCACTTGAGTCACTATATAAGATTTTCTAACCCAGAGAAAGAGGTTTTTTGGTTGGAGTAGTAGGTTAGCATTATACACTAAGATTTTTGGACAAAGCTAACCTTACTACTTTAGTTGCAATAGGTTTTAGCATTCATGATGTTTTCATAATTTATATTTTAAGCAATCCCTAAAAATATTCGGTCTCTCATGTTTTTCGTGGGTATCAAGTTAGTCCTTCATGTCATTTTAGTCTGGAATAATTTCGACACTAGGTCACGTTAGTCCTTCCGTCAAATCACTTCTATTAAGTATAACAGAGTTACGTAAGCAACTCTGTTAGACTTAACGGATGTGAGTTGATGAATGACTAATGTGACGTAACGTCCAAATTGTTGGAGCCTAAAATAACAATTAATATTTTTTATGAACTAACTTGGTACCCACGAAAAAAATGAGTGACTAAGATAGATAATTACTCTATTTTAAAGTTGATATTCTCCACTTGATTGTAGTTATGCTATAATAAATGTTAGTTATTTAATTGAAATTTAAATTTATTTGTAAGCTTTTATTATGAGTAAAGAATAAAATTTATATTGTTTGATTATGTCTTATGTTATTGGTAATATTTTATTATAGTATAAACTAATATTGGAGTTTAAATTTATAAATAATATAAACTAATATTATAAATTTTAAAAAAATATTAATGTAAACCTAGTTAATCAATGACTCAGTGATTAGACCAATAATCCTTCCTGTAAGTAGTGTAAATGAGTGGATTATCCATCTAAGTTAAGTAACATTGTATTAAATTAATTATTCCAAAAAAGACTACATCACTTATTTGTCAAAGTAAATTTGTTTGTTAAAAAGAAAGATAATTAATACTACTTATTACTATTGATAGGGGATTGTTAAGTTCTGAATGAAAAATATAATTTTGGATCGGTAATGATGTGCTATTGTGCTCAATGCATAGAGAATTAACTTATGAACATAGTTTTTAATACAAAATCCTTCTTATTATTCTACCCCATTGGATCCTCATCCATTTTTTCCGAGTCTATTTCAAAATAATTATTTAATTGTTATTTTTTAAGATAGTATTAGTTATTCATTTGTCTATTATATCTTTATAATAATTATTGTGAAGATAACAAATTAATTATGTGAATTGTGAAGTAAAGTGATGAAAAATTTGAGAAATATATAATAGAAATCTAAAAATAAAATTTTTAAAAAAATCGAATGACTTTCTTATTTTTTATAAAATAACCGATAACAACACTTGTAAATAAATGAAAAGAAGTAGCATGTGAGAGTTTCAAAGGGAAATGTTATTAATATACTAGTACAGTGGACCCTTAAAATGTGCTGGGCAAGAAACTCAAACTTTTATTTTAATATTATTTGAAAACATATGATAAAATAATAAGAATAATCTATACCCAAAAAACCATATTATTTCAATTAAAGGTTGCCCAATTCAATTATGAGTTTATTATACAATGTTAGTGTAATTTCTTTACACTAGTAATTAATAATACGTTACTACTTCTATGCACCAATAATTGGATGATAGGGTGAAAAATGTTTACACTCACTCCATTAAAATTAAGAGTATGCTTGGTTCAACTTAATTTTAAAAATATATATAAGCAGCTTATTCTTACTTTAACAATTGTGCAAAAACTTTAATCTAGATTTGTAATTTTGTTGAAAATAATTTCACCTTTTTTTTTCAGGAAAAAAACATCTGTAGATTATTTTTCATTTTATGTCATCACAATTTTGCCCAAACCCAAATCTCATCACAATTCTTAAGAGATTTAACGCTTTTCTACTCGAAATTTTATGTCAATGATATTTTTAAGAGAATAATAATAGTTGTATGTGTCTATATATATATTGTGAATTTGGGGACAGATATATGCTAGAACATTATGAATACTTTTTAATAACAAAAATATGTATGAATATAGTTTTCATTTTAAAATTAAAATGACTAACCACCTGACTCTAGTGGTATAAAGACACCATTATATCACGGGATAACCAAAGTATGATTCTTGAAAAGAATATTTACTAAGAAGGACAATCACAAAAGGATTAACGCAAATTCCAAGGGTAAACAAGCATATTACGAATGATTTCAAAACTATTAACCATTCGAAAAGATGCATAATATTTAAATAATCCATTTTAAATTCACCAACAATGCAAACAAGTAAACCTCTTTATTAATATAGAGATAAATATTACAAAAAAATAAAATAACATATTAAGATATTTTTATCATTTTATATATATTAAAATGATATTTTTGTCATTAAAAATATAAGAAAAATAATTCTCATTAATGAATATTATCCTTCTTCACTACCAATATAGTTTCAACTTTCAATATCCCTAATGTCATGACTTTTCTTAACGTGGATGATTTATTGTTTTTTCATATTCTATTGGATCCAAATAAAATATTAAAAGCACAATATTATTTCCCATACTCATAACTATTATCAAATTAGTGGAGGGAAAACCCATAACAATAAACTTTCAACATTACTAAAAAAACCATGATGTATGGCAATCAATCATAAAATTTGAAGATTCGGCAAACATATTAATTAATTAATTAATTAATTAATTAATTAATTAATTCTAGCTAATGGGGTCCAAGTAAACATCAAAGAATAATAAATAGAATATTCAATACAAATGGCATGTATATTTTATTGCATATATTCAAATCATTCAATGTGTACACATCAACATCTATATTATTTTATTGATGCTATAGTATGGTTTCAAGAATCTACACAACCATATTATGAGTAAGACTGGTTTAAGAAATAATAATATTAGCATAATTAATGTGTATTCCCAAGTTTATTTATTGTGGATAAAAGCACCATCTTATGTATAAGCCTAATTATTAGCATAATTAATGTGTATTCCCAAGTTTATTTATTGTGGATAAAAGCACCATCTTATGTATAAGCCTAAAACAAGTTTGATGGTAAAGTTGACTAGATAATAATAGATCATGCAATGCACGATTTTTTTAAAACATACATTTTTTATAATTGTTTGTTGACCTAAGTTTTATCATGTGGGTAAAAATAATATGACATATCATATTATGTATTTTATTATAATTGCTTTTTGGAAGAGAAAATGGAGTAAAATTATTAGAATTAATATAAAGGTAAAGAAATTTAGTAACTAAAGTGGCTAGATATGAAGATGAACATTTTTTTTTCAAAATTCATAAAATAATAAATTAGAGTGAAGATCTATTTTTTGGTCCAACATTTTTTCTGTTTATCATTTGATCTATAAAACAAATGATAAAGTATGTAAATAACACAAGTTATATTATTTTTCCGAAATTGTGCATTGGGACATGCTATATCCATTTTAATTTAAAAATATACTTTGAAACAATAAAACTAATGGGTACCTTTTGCTTGATATTAAAATTATGGGTACTTTTATGTACGAAAAAAATATAATAAAAATATTTAATCAACAATATAAAATGGAATTAAGCAACAGGATAAAACTTCCAAGTTAAAGGATAATGATATATTTTACTATGCTAATGAAAAGTAGATTTGCATTAGTTAAATTTGTTTCTAGGGGGGTTTCTCCCTTCCAAATAACCAAACAAATATGGTTATATTTTAAAATAAGAGTAAATTACACTCACACCCCCTGAGTTTTAATGAAATTACATAAACCATCCATCCCTTCTTTGTCCTTACATCAACCACCCCTCCCTCCTACACAAATCACCCCTAGATTTATACATACATTACATTGACTACCCATGCATGTTATAAAAGTGTAATATTTTAAAGAAAAAACGTGTGATGAATATAATTAAGTCAAACAAAATATTGTATATTGTGTAACACTTCAAATAGTACAAAAACGAGTGTTTCTTTATTATTTTTGTGTCATTAAAAAATACATTAATAATTTCAAATAAATGTTTAAATAAATCTTATACTATTTTATAACGAGCCAAATAATAAAGACGAATTGACTATTATATTATTTGAATTTGTCTACACAATATACAATATTTTGTTTAATTAATTTCACACATCATACATTTTTTGTTTAAAATATTACACTTTTATATCATGCAGGGGTA